TGAGTTAATATCACGTATAATACGAACTTAGTGCGCGTGAAAAATAATACTGTATCGTTCTTTCATCTATTGTTGATGGATGGCCAAAGTTACCCGACATAAAGCATGTCTTGTTACACGTTCGGAAATTGAATTTAGTCACGATAGGATATAGGTTAGGTACAAGTGTATTTTTTTTATAATATTTTATTTAGTTATTATTTGACGTGGAAATGTTTACTATTTTTCTATAATGACCAATAACTTCGAAGAGAAGAACTATAAAAATAAGATGTCTATGATCTATGTACTTGTAAATAATTACTACAGTTTCCAATTGATTGAATGTTTTTTTTTTTAAACTAATTGATGACAGACTCACTTTTATCAATGTAAGCTGCATTAGTCGATTTGCTTAGAAGTTCTTCGATAAGTTACTAGTGATGTGGCTCAAACTTAAATGGCTCTCATTAATTTTTAAGTGATGGTCCTATTTGTCTTCAATATTTTAGTTCACTTTTTTAGTAGCATAAAACTAAGTATATCCTCTACGCTTTTTTAAATTATCGATTTATTTAATTTATTACTTATGATAGTTAATACTTATATTTAATACTTAATTTATTTTATAATGACACTAATTAAGGAGTAGTAAGATATTTTATAATCACTCATTAGCAAGAAAGCTTTGCCACATAAACTTTGTCAGAATTATTTTATCCACGTACTCCTTCCTAAGAGGCCGGCAACGCGTTTGTGACTCCTGAGTTACAGACGTTCATGGGCGGCGTTAGTCACTTTCCATCAGGTAACCCGTCTGTTCGTCTGCCCCCTCTAACTAATAAAAAAGAGAAAAAAAATTGTGACACCAGTTTTGGTGTATAAAGAACCTAATTGTCAATAATAGCAGTGTCTGTAGACAACTAAGTATTTTTTTTATGTATTTTTAATTTTATCAACTGCCAGTCCTTTGTAATGATTTAAATACTGTAATTTTGCAATTAATCTGTGGAACAAGTTATAGTCTGCGGTAATTCCGGTGATTCCTGAGTTGCAGACATTCATGGGCGGTGGTAGTCACTTTCCATCAAATGACCCGTCTGCTCGTTTGTACCCTCTTCCATTATTTTTGACGACGACCTATTTATTTTTTGACGACCGAATGGCGTAGTGGTTTGTGTAACGGACTGCTATTCCAAAGGTCGCGGGTTCGATTCCCGCTCAAGTCAAACATTTGTGTGCATGAACATTTAATGTTTGATTTGGTCTGGGTGTTTCTATGTATAATAAGTATGTATTTACAAAAAAAAAAGTATATATGTATTTATATCGGTTGTCTAGTACCCATAGTACAAGTGCTGCTTAGTTTGGGACTAGATGGCGTTGTGTGAATGTGGTACAATATTATATTTAATAAAAAAAAAATATAAATTATAAAACAAATAATATTGAATTGTCGATGATACGATCTAGAATATCATCTTAAAAAAATTGTTTATTGTTCTTATTCTAAGTTGCAGGACGTTGCTTTAATACATCGGCCATTGTACGACGTGACTCATTAAGCCAATTAATGCTGTGTATTATAAATTTATTTAATACATAAATTATGAACATTTAATTGTAAATAAAGTATTTCAGTATTTTCCTCATTATTGTGCATTCAATACTGACATATTACAATATATAATAAAAAAGTAGGCGAGTGAATTGTTATCTAAAACATTCGCCTTATACAACTAATTAATTTAAAATCTCAGTAACGATGTTTTTTTTTATCTTAAATATTTGAAATTTATTAATTTGCTTCATAAATCAACATAATTTCATTAAATTTTATTGTTAGAATCGTTTCTGCCATGTACTCGTCAAAGAAGAAAGTTAATTTAAAACTATTAAATTAATAACAAAAACATGAAGTCTATGACTAATAGTGAGGTAATCTCGTTTTTACAGTATCGATGTTGCTCTTTAATGTAGATAATTCTTCTTCTTCTTCTTCTTCTTTAAAAAGACAACTCCCGCATTAGGAATATATCCTGTGTCGCGGGGGACCTTACAAACATACATGAAACGGACACAAAGAACACCCAGACTCAGAACAACAATTTGTGGATCACACAAAGTGTTGTCCCATGTGGGGTTTGAACCCACAACACTCAGCGTAGTAGGAAGCGGCATGGCGACCGCTTAAACCACTACGCCATGCGTGCAGTCAATTTCCTACTTTATTCACCATTGATGTAGCAAAAGAGCTTTTTTCCTCAAAGTTGGGAGTTTAAAATTCTAGGCATGTATCATTTCACAAGCACTTTGTATAAAACCGCCCAGTATTGGTGCAACACGCTGTATAACACAGTGTCCCGTGTGAACGTCGAACAATCATTTCGCAACAAACGGACAGACGGACATCACGCATGTATATCGTGGGAACTGGAAAATCAGCGAGACCCATAACGCATGGACAAAATAATACCTTAGCTAATACACGTATTGATAGTATAATGCGACACTTTCTACGAGTACGTTGACATTACACAGTTGCGGCTCAAAATATGTCTTTTTTAATCGGTTGTTTTAAACAAATTTCTGTTTTCGTTTAGCGGGGTAATTGAGTTGGACTTGAGATCAAACGGCCTGCACTATCGACGTGAACTCAAGCAATCAGTTTAGCTGGAGGTTAGCTTGATAAAAATACTAGATATGTATGTGTCACGTTACTAATATCTGTTACTAAAAATGGTTTAAAAAAGAAGCCTTGATTTGTTTATGAGCTTAAAAAACTTGATAGTCACAAAAGAGTAAAAAAAAAAAGTTTTGTACCGTGACGGCATGTGCTCAGTCGGATTAAAACAAAAGGTTTCAAAAACGATCGTAATAAAAAAAAATACTATTTGACATGTCACCGTGTCAGTGGAATTCTTTTTTTTCTTACTAAATACTTTCGACCTTTCAAAGAGAGAATCTGTTTCGAAAACCTTTGTCGATCAATATAATCATAGACAAGCGTTTCCCACGACTGCTGTGCACTGTTACGTGGTTAGCGTGACCAACACGCGGTCATTACTAGTTATTACTACTCGCCGAGACTACGCCCAATGTTTCTACACAATCTAAACATTGATATCTGTGCTACACAGCAAGACCATAAAGAAAAATTAAACATTTCCCTCCACACGTGACACAATGAGAATCTCACTTTTAAAAATGGAACGCGCGAAAATGCATCGTAATTTTTATTTTGGCATAATATCTCCATAAACGTGGCTAAAATACCAATCAGCAATAACCGAAAACAGGAAAACCGCATAACATTGCAACGAAATAAGAAAACTGTAACCCCTTTTGGGAATTATCTGAAATTCAATCTATTTGAGCTCATCCCCATCGATGGGGACAAAGGCTAATACACAAGAGTCCATTGTTTCCGTAGATTTATACATTGTCGTGCATTGTCATTAATGTGTACACTGCCTTACAATGAGAACGTTCTTTTTAATTCCAAATTTTCTGTATTGTCTGTATTACGAATTGCTTCGTGTTCCTTTTGAATTTGATAGCAATAGCGACTGTCATGACGAGGTATTGTAAAAAGATAACGTTTATTTTTTGTACTAGTTTAGTCTGCAACTACAAATAGACAAAGTAATAATTTAAGGGTTGGTTTAACTAAGCTATATCGTTAGTTTTTAAGGTCATTTCAGTAACTTAGTGCATATTGCGGCAAGTTCGTTGTTTGTGCCGTGTGCGTGTCCGCTCCGCTTTTCCATATCTATGGTCTCAGAGTTGAATCCATTTCTGTGCAAACGGACTTTAAATTGATATGAATAAGTAGCCACGTATAAGTTTTTGCTAAAACAATTTATTTCAGCATTTTAAAGTATAGAGTAGTTGTAATAAAATGACAATATTGCACATTGGAATTAATAATTAATTGTTACCATTTAAAAAAAAGAGTTGGCTTAAAGTTTTATGAAATCAATTTTCCTATCTATACTTAATTTACTGACAGTGATTATTTTTTATTTTTTTTATTACCTGTACTACTCTATGCTTTAATGATTGCTTCGTGAATTATCTCACTCGCGACTTGCTTTGCTATAATCTGTGTATTATTAATAACCAAAGAGTTAGAATAATTTGTAAACAATAATTTGGCATTTGATAATTTGGAAAAAATAATACTCCAGTCCAAACTGGGTTTTGCGGTTCCTTAAGCCTTAACTCTTGATGGGCTCCTGAAATTTCCGCACGCGACAGGACTTAGGCACAGGGATAAAAGGATTTAGGAAAAGGTAGGCACAAAACAAAAAATAAAATCATAGTGTAAAAAATAAAAAGTGCGGATTCGCTAAATGAAAGCGTCGTGTGCTTAGGCGTTCATCTATTACGCGGTGATTTGACGTTTGGTGATCAATAGCTCCACACTGGTACCCTTTCCAGTGGAACCTAATTTCTGATCCAGCACATTGGCTAGGCGATCACCGATCAACCATAATAAAATACTGACTTGTACGCAATGACTAACCATTATCATAATTCGATGTACTGGTGTAAACATCTTTTGAGGTAGCAGTTTGATTGATGAGGTGTATTGTCAGCTAAACTGGCAGCCAAGATAACCGGAGATGTCAAACGGTTCATGATCCGCGGCAAAACGAATTAATGATAATACCTGACGTACCAAAGGTGATTAGATAAATGCTCCGTTTAGTGATATTGATAGTCTTGTGCTATTAAATTTGTGTTAATTTTTCTTTCACCTTTGGTACGTTCCTGCTTTTAGCATGCAACGGTGAAAACTTCTGACGTATATAAGAAACCATCAATTTTCCTTCTGAATTTTCTTAAGACCTTGTTCTAAATTATCAGTGTGAATATATTCGTAATTATAGACGTCAATAATTTTCACCTAAAGAGTACACATAAGGGGCCCGCCATTTTTGAAATTGAACTAAAATTTAAACACTCGGCTAATCCTGAACTTAAAATTAAACAAAGATGTATTAGTAGAAAAATACCTTTTTTAGGGATCAGTGACTTGAGGAGCATGATGGCTGCTTCGTCGCAGGCCCACGCGTGCATTTTTCTATACGAGTCCCTGCCTTTCTCTGTCAGCTTGTCCCATGGCTTCGGCTTCGATAGTAGTTCCGATACTGTTCCTTGCGACAGGCCCAGGACGTATTTGGCGAAGAGCCTCTGACCGATATTATGCACGGAGAGGAGCTCCCTAACTCTTCGACTGATGTGCAGCGTGTCAAGGTTGGTATTGGCATATTTGTCTATGTTGTATCTTAGCATCTCTTGCAGCCGAGCTTCCATGGGGTCACCCTTAGGGATGAGCGAATCTCCCAGCCTGCCAACCAGCGCGCCAGGTGGGAGCGGGCCCATGTCGTCGGCGAATCGGTAAGTGCGATGTTCTTCGAAGCGGAACGGGCTCGGCGGCGGCAGCGGCAACGGCATGGGGCCGTTGTTGTTGTGGTGCGTAGTGTTGTTGTTGAGCGGCGGCGGCGTGACCGGCCACTCCTCGCCACCTGCGGTGAGAGCACGGTTACGCGGGAACACGAGGAGGGGAAGGTGGACGGAGTGGGAGGGAAGGCTAGCACGCACGCTCGTAAGCGTCGCAATCATTCGGCAACGGTGTACGAATGTTTAATGCGCGCGCGGCGTCTCTCATGTCTCTCATGTTGGCATGCTCCGAATTCTAAAGCCTAAGTTTGAAACGATTACGCGCGTCCGTGAGCGGCATGGCTGAGGTGGTGGGAACTGGATATTCCTCGTACTCCGCGCGTTTTTTTGCGAATTGTTGTTTTTTTTTTAATCGGACAGAAAAGTGAAGCGAACACGAACTAGCTACGGACATACACAGGGTTTGAAACATCGAACGTGCTGCTTGCGGCGATCGATTTCCAAGGTTCAATTTACGACGATATGATATGCCTGTCATTCGGCCCGACCAATTCGCCCACTTGAATAATCAAAAGCGTGACTTCAACAGTCGGGCCGAACACTAAAGCTTCACAACAAACTTCAACTTGAATATATAGAGTTTGCTTAAACAAAGTATGTCACGAGTAAAGCAACTCTTTATAGGCAAGTCAAACACTAGTGACGTACCTGTATCCCGACGTTCTGCGCTGCGCTCGCGTTCAGCAGAATTATCGCGATGCGCGGGCGCAACGCTAGGTGAGCGTAGCTCTGGTTTGCGTTCCAGTGACCGTTCGAGTGATCTTTCCAGTGACCGCTCGAGTGACCGTTCACCTCCACCCAAGTCTAGTGCTCGGAGCATACTGAAACAAAGGAGAGAAAAAGTTACATTTTGTAAATATACGTTTTGAATCATAATAAAGCATTGAGATTACGCCTCAGAGGCGACTTCTACCAACGTTCATTAATACTTTTATATACATTTAATTTATATTTACATAAATACACCACATGTCATAGAATTTATATACCTAAGATATTGTTGCTAAGTTTTTATTATGTTAAGTTTAAACTGTAGTAAAGGCTATTTACTGTGTGTTACTTGCCACCACAGATTTCATTTATACAATTTCGAATTATTTTTGTTATTATTTTTAATCACTAAATTGTAGTAGTTGTTTTTTAAAAGACACTAGGTATATATCCTAAAACGGATACAAAGAACACCTAGACTCAGAATAACAATTTGTGAATCACACAAAGTGTTGTTCCATGTGGGGATCGAACCTACAACACTTAGCGCAGTTGGAAGCGGTAGTATTCGAGCTATCTAACAGCTATTACTCGTTTTAAATAAAATCACGTTAAGGATTACGTATATAGATGAAAATGACTTATAATTTTTAAGGTTTTCTCTTTATTTGCTTGGTAGTAACTTCAATTAAATGCATTTTAAGAAAATATATATTTGTGTTTTATTTTTTGCTTTAGTCATGGCTCAATTTAAGTACTTTTGTACAAATATTGATATCATTAATACCTTTCCGCACAATAGAACCAAAAGACCGATATTGAGATGACAAAATAAATTCTTAATTATCTGTGGTTATTTGCTATTGGATGAAAATCTTTGCGAGTAATCCCAAATACCTTGATCATAATTAAAAGACAATGTTTCAGATAATCCTGATTGTAATATAAGGGTTTTAATTATCGCCAGGTGAGGGTGGTCACCGTTCGATATACCCCAATAAATTGGGCCAAAAGTGAATTGATTAAAACAATTTCCAGGTGAATTAATTAAGTATTTTAATTAATAGGAAGTGCTGGGTTTCTATTGGCAATATTCCTTTAATAAATTTATTGAGATTGGGTCGCTTTGAGCGGTATCTTACGGCTATTAGGAGATAAGACCCACCCTACCTGCTCCCGTATACATTTGTTACAATTATTTTGTGTATTTATGACATCTTAAACAGTGTTGCCACTATTTGTTATAACCAAAAACTGTACATATATAATATAATTATATTAATAAATACTCATTAGAATTAGAATCTTATAAATATTCATTTAAATAAGTTTTTTGCAAAAACCGAATTTTACATATTACATACGATGTATATCTATCAAACCTTTGTTTTATGTTGTTATGTTACCTCAAATGACGTCATGATATCGGCTTTTGACGTCGAAAATAATTGTTTATTTTTTTTACTTAAATTCAAAATAAGATTTATTAATATACTAAATGTTAAATTAATCTAAAGAGGAGTATTAAGGAATACACTTTCGACGGATATTCTCGACGAGGAAGTCTGTATAATTTGACCCTTCTCTTTTTTGTAGTAGTTTTACTTAATTTTTAAATTTCTTAATTATATTGTTTAACAGTTATTTAATTCTATACCTACATAAACGTTAAGAATTCCAAATTTAACGTGCCTCTTTATACGATTTTTTTTTACAAATGCGTACTAATATTCCTGTGTGTTAAACTGACTTTTCTTATTGAGAAGGGTAGGCAGAGCTAATAAAACTATCAACACCATATTGTTAAGGTAACTCAAGAAATATAATTCCAAAATCCACCAACCGATCGTTCAATTTATAAAGCAGTTACTCTATTAAGCACTCGACTAATTGTACCCACAATTACACTGCACATTCGACTCGTTGGTCGATTATTTGTCAAAAGTGCTCACTACCTCAGACACCGTAGGGTTGCACGTTAATTACAATTTAATATATCGCCAATTAAATCGTTGATCGGTAGCTCGAGTCGAATCTCAGAGGTGTTGCCAGCTTCATTTTGTATGAATGAGGTTTATACGGGACTTTGTTAGTAGTTCTTGTTTAAATTAGTTATTTATAATAGTGTGGCTTTTCTAACCAGACTGAATCCAATGGAGTAAAGATGAAAAAATAAGATTTTTTAACATGCTCTGATACTTAAAAGTATTTAGGTCGGTAATTCAATTTCCCTGTCTTTAAAAGAAAACCGTCATCAATACTAAAATAACACAACTTACTTCTGTAAACTCTATTCTTACCTAAATAATAATTTAATCGGTAGCCATATTGTATGAAGCGTATTGTGCCAGCTTACTTCTATTGTTGACGTGATTGTCTCAACGGGAATACTAGATAGCTAGTGTTGTAGTTCCGGCGTCGTTTAGTTTCGACAATTAAAGCGTTTAAGTTTAAATATTCAAATTTAGAATGATTTGTGTTTTTTAAATACAGAACATATTTTTTATTATGGAGTAGATGGAAGAAAGTTATCTTTGGAATACTTTGACATTTAAATGACACATTTTTTGGCGGTTCGTCGGCTTTTATTTTTATTTTTTAAGTTCCACTAAAGCCTTGTAACGACAAAGTTTCGGTCATATAGTAAAAAATACTTGAAAATTTGTTACGAAGGTGGGTTAAGTGTCTTTATAAGGAAGGTTAGCTGTTTGGTAATGTTTTACGAGCGTTTTAAAACTGGTACATTATAAACAGAGATGACACAGTTGGGAAGTGACGACGGAGTTTAGTTTATGAGGAAAACTGTGGAGTGGTTCACCAGGTAAATTTTTGAGAGAGTAAGTACCTGTTTCTAATGGACGGAGTTTTAAATATTTATAGTTTTATAGTGACTTGAAGTACAAAATAACTGGCTTACCTAATAATTTATTTAATAACATAACTTCAAGGAGTCTTTTAAAAATAATAAAAAAATAATTGTATTTTATCGACGCATACTACATTTTAACGGGATTTATTTTAGAAATTTAAGATTGAAAAACAATGTTTTTTTAACAAAAAAACTTTCAACTACTCTACTCCATAGTATTCTGTTCAAGATGAAAGCTTAAAAGCATCTTTGTCTTGTCCAAAAGCCTTCAGTGTAAGGCGTGTGCACACTGAATATTTGATGCTTCGATGTAACTGATGTTGGGTAGATACCCTTACCGCAAAGTTGGGATAACTTTTCATTACAAAGTTCACTTTTAATACGTGTTATGGTTGAGTTTAATGTAAGTATGTGTAGTTCATTTTGTTAAGTTTGATTTTAAGTGCATTTATTTAAGACTTGGAAGCTTTTAAGTGTTTAATAATTGTCTTAATGCACTTTGTATTAAGTATTATTGTATGTGTATTTGATCGTGAGACAAAGGTTTTTCTATCCTCGTTTTTTATGTTAAGTAAAATACTTTTTTTATTTTCATTATTTGTTTATAGAATCTTCTTCAATCCAGGGTATAGATAAAATAGAATTTCTTTCTGTTCTAATTTCAATTTGAAACAAAACAAGGCACAGACAAACAACTTTAAACGGCCCGTTTAGTCAGTTCGTTTGTGCTCAACCATAGACAAATAACTGCAAAATGACTATCATATTTCAAAATTTGTGTCAAAATCCGTGAATTTTGATTGATCGCTCGTGGGTCGTTTTCACCCTTTAAAGAGAATATTTCAAAGACATATTTTCCTAAGGGGTTGAACGTAAAGGGATGTTTCTATATTGATTAGCGAATTACGAATTCCTGTTGAGTTCTTAGCGGCCATGTTTTATTGGTCTATGTGTCGTTTGGGAGCTGCGCAGTTTTATTACAAACACAATCAAAACAAGAAATGAGAGGCTTATTGGTGTAGTCAGCACAAATACGACTGGCAATTGTATGGTTCTTCGTCTTGCTTTATGGTATTTTACTCTATAAGAATAAGAACATGAGTCATCTGATACTTGAAAATTTAGGGCAACATCTATAAGACTATTAACTATACCTAATCAACTCTAATGTTAAAGAATTAATTATGTCCTTATCGATGTATCTTTCTACAGCTGCTCATAGTTGTTGTCTTTGAAAAAAAAAAACAAAAGTCTATGAACTCTATGTTCATATTCCAAAGCTCAGATTTCACTTACAACTTATGGTAAGTAGGTAAGACTTAGGTACTAATACACACCTCCTACAAATATTTATCTCAGGAACAGATAATATTACAAAGTTTATGTCAATGTTGACCATATTCTGATTACACTATTGTATGTTTTTTTTTTTAAATAAAAAAAAACAAAACCGCGCGGTGTCAGAATTTAGCGTGACGTTTTACATAATAACCTTCAATAAAACTTGAGAACAGCTACACGTGGAAGATTAAATTTATAAAGACGATTAAAATAAGTTTTCCTGAGACAACTATTCAATTGAATACAAGTATTATTTATGAATAAAGTACCTATGTTACAACTTTTAATGAAATTTTGACATTGAGCCTTCTTACACGTGTTCATTGTCAATTGATTCTATTTAAATTCTGTCAGATCATCTAGCATCGAGTAGATAACGTTTATTTCCTAGTGTCGGACAATGCGGTGACGTCAGAGCACTATCAATATGATCGCCGATAACGCCCCGCCCTCGCTCGACTGACCAATCACCGATCGATCGGACAGTAACTAACGCCTTTGCTTGCACTACAACTACTTAAAAATATCAAACAACCGCCATTGGTTCCGTTTTCAAATATTCAAAATATTGACTCATGTCAATATAAATGTTTAAAAATGGAACAACTCCATGTTCCTTATTTAGTCTACGACAAACGTTTTTAAACGAATGCTGTGTCAACATCGTGTAAAAAGCTTAGGGCCGAGAGGCATTCTTTATGGCATCAAAATCGTCGGGGAGCGTAAATTAGTTGATAATTTGTGTGCGACAGCGTTAGGCTAAACTTTCGTTAAATGTAAGACAAACATCGCCTAAGCAAATGGAGACAGGTGTCCGCGATAGGCTCTCATATTGATATATAGGGGCGCACAACACCACATACTAAAACATGTATGTTTCGTTGAAATTATGTAAATCGT